CTTTAAGGCGCAGTAAAAATATAATGCATTATATTTAAATCCCTATTGCTCGACATTAATTGTTGTGAAAGTAAACATAAAAATTGGTATTACGATTTTCTGCAGTCACAATTGTTTATACATATATATAAATATATATATATTTTTTGTTTTCAAAGAGAAACCAAATTGGAGTTAAAATGTTCTCAGTAAGAAATTCATTGTCTGCCAGATCTCAATTCCATTTTTTTCTCTCTCATTCTTTCTAACTTCCTCTCTCTCACATACACTTTCTCTCTCTCTCTCTCTCTCTTATTCTTTTTAACACTCTCTCTCTCTCTCTCTCTCTCTCTCTCACACGCTCTCTCTCACACACATTCTTTCCCCCCTCTCTCTCTCTCTCTCTCTCTCTCTCTCTCTCTCTCACTCTTAAACATTCTTTCTCTCTCTCTCTCTCTCCCTCTCTCTTTTTATCTCTCACACACACATTCTTCCTCCCCCCCTCCCCCTCTCTCTCTCACAATGTTTCACACTCTCCCTCTCTTACCTCTCTCCTTCTGACTCTTTCTCGCTTTTCTCTCTATCTCTGCCTCCCTCCATCATTCTCTCTCTCTCTCTATCAATTTAGTTGCGGCTTTGAGTAGCCTTACTAAAAAGAAATTCGCAATACGAACACACACAGCTTTTTAATTTAACCAACATTTTTTTGCACTGTGTAGCTGTTTTGTTTTTTCATAAGCCAGAGATATAAATGCCTTTTGTTTTCTTTGAGGCATTGGAATGCTGTTTAGATGCTTATTATCTAAATTATCTTTAGCGCAAAACAAAGTCTCGTGTAGTCCATGGCGCTGTTGAATTGTGTTAAAAAACAAAAGTGGGTTAAAATTAAAAAAATGTTGCCGGCGATTTTGTATTATTACAGTGTAGCTACTATATAAAAAAAAGCGCGAATGTACATATGTAAATGTATATATGTATACAGATTTGGAATGAGGAAGTGAAATGTAGAGAATGTTCTGTGGTCATTCCTTCTGCACATTATGCTTATCTGAAGCTGTCAATGACGCATTTCAGACATCACAAAACTCATGCAGTTCCCCGGCGTATCAGCAAATGCACAAGATCAAATTGTTGCTGTTGCTCGCCCTGGAAGGCGGTATGGCTCCTATCAAGGCAACGTTTAGCTGCTTTTATTTATAACCAGCCGAAATTATATTATTGTGGAATGTTGTTTAGACGCTTTTTATCTGAATTATCTTAAAGTCACGGTTAGCACGGGTTGTGGCCGGGTGGTGGGTGGGTTGGCTGAAGGTTTTTGTTTTTGTTTGGTTTGTTGGCGTTACGGCGACAAATAGTTGGGAATTTTTTCGCTGCTTTGTTTTGCAAAAGAAAATGTTTAGCTAATAAATTCCAATGTGTTATATCAGCAGCGACACACACACACACACATACAGGCAGATGTGCATGTATATAAGCAAATAAGATTGGCTAGATATTTTAATACAATATTTTACGCCAAATAATTCTCAGTTCAGCTACATTTTTGTTACCTTTGCCGCTTATCACGTGCGTCGGACGCGTGTTTTTTTTTGAACTGCCATTTTTATTTCGCTCTTTTTTTGGCTTTTTGCATTTGTTGCATCAGCTATTTTTTTTTTATGGTGTTCCAGACTTGTGCAGTGGGCATTATTTCGTCAACATATTTTTGTATATGTGTACGTCTGTGTGTAAAATAAGTGCAAATATACTTATTTGATCCGTGAAACAAGTTCAGTTCGTATGGACACATCCGCTTGCCTCCACCTCTGTCCCACTGTCTGCCTGTTTTTAAAGCAACTTGTCTTCCAAATGTGAAGCTATCGTAACTTGATATAGATTCATTTTTATTTAAGCTACATAGCACATATATCAAAGTCGGCTGCAGCGCAACACTATCTTATATAGTTGTCATTGAAAATAACGTTTGAAAATTGAACTCTTGTGCTATGCAAACATCGCAGCACTATGCACAACCCGATCGTTGGGAAAGTGAGCTCTTACTATAAATCCCATCACAATTGGACAGTTAGTTAGTATGGGAATAATAAGTCTTAAATTAAGTTCAATTAGTTGAGCTGGACTAAATTAAGAATATTAGTACGTCGGAGTTCAGATCAACTTCTTCAGCAGGGTCCTGGCTGAGCCCATCACAGAGAGGTGCCTCCGGAAGGTTACACCCCCGCGACCTACCTTCCCTTCAGGGAAGCTTCAGCTAATCAGCTAATCTGGTTTTAGTGTAAGGTAATAAAATCTTAGCATGCCAAAGGTACCCATTATTTGGCATAATTCGAAGCACACTTCCAGCTGGCTACAGCTAACGTCAATCGAGTACTCAAACTATGACCCATAAATACTTTTGTGTATATATACATATATTTATCGACAATTTTCAGTTTATAAAACAAAAATAATACGCGTGGGCTCCAGACTGTTCGTTTTTATGGCCTGAACCTATTGAAAACATGTGATTTTGTATAGAGGAAAAAGCATGAGTACTCGAAACAGCAGCTCGCCACACGGGGTTTACTCTGCTCTGGCAGCTATGGCGCCTCATGCTACTGTGGCGTTTGCGGCGTCTGCTGCTTCAGGGGCGTGGGCTGCGACATACCTTCGCCGTTGTGGCAGGCAGCTGCGCTTCTATCTGGAGCGCCTTTTACTCGTTATCATCGGCTGGGCTACAATATCATTAAAGATTTGCCACTTGACACTGTCACGGCTGGCTTTTATCCGCTTGTATAGTGTATTGCAATTTTGTCGTGAAATGTGTGACACATACTCAATGCAGACATCTTCGAATCCATAAAGTATATATACTCTTGATGAGTAACAAAAGACGGGTCGATAAGAATCGATATTGGTTTATTATATTGAAGGTTATAAGAGCTGGAGACAAAATTTGGCTTACAGCATAAACTAATTAAAAATGTTATTTTTGGCGGCATAGTTTTATTTACACACATTTTTATGATAGATCTGCACTGAAAATTAAATAAAGATCGGACCATAAGCGCCGATTCTACTCAAGAAAGCATAGAAGGAACGAAGAAATATAATAAAGATCGGACAATAAGCACCGAGTCTACCCAAGAAAGCGTATGCATAGAAATAAGCCAAAATAACGGAAAAACAACGCTAAGTTCAGGGTATCCCCTAGTCGGGCACAGCCGACTCTTTTCATTGGAGACCTTTCGCTTTTGGTTATGAATTATTTTTGGAATGCGGCTTCGGTGTTTGTCTGATTTGTCAGACTTTTGTAAGCTATATATAACTCGCTTTAGCTGTCACTTTACCACGGCTTTTCTTCTTCTTCTATTTGCTTCTTTTTTTTTTAGACTTTTTTGACCTTGTTAGAGTTGCAAAAAACCATTTGCTCGCTCTTTAATGTCAGCTTTGAGTCAGCTAATTTGGCTCTGACTTTAGACGTTTACTGTATGTAAATTGTCAACTGTCCACAATTTTGGTTGAAGTTGGAAGTACGCTTAGCCACAGGCTGGGGCCAAGCCAGTCTATTATATCATACACCCCCCGTAAATGAAAGTTTTTGGTGGTTGGTTATGCAAATTGTTTTTTTTTTTTTACTGGCCTTGGCATATCCCGAGTGCTTACTTAGTCGGCGGACTCGGGTCTCTATTGATTGCTTTCTTTTTTCCTTCCATTTTTTTTTTTTTGGTGTTGTATTCCCTGGTGACTGCTCCATTTGCGGAAGTCATTTGCCCCTTTATCATTTATTGATTTTAGCCTGGGTGAAAGTTGTGGCATATTTAGTTGGTGTTTGTTTTGTTTGTTTCTGGTGTTGGTCACGCTCATGCTCTAGTTAAGTTTCTCGCTTTAGTTTGGCATAGATTCAAAGAAGTTCCCCTCATATATTGTATGACAAGCTAGATAGAGAAATGCGTATAATGTTTGTGCAAATAATGCTTTATTAATTCGATTGTGCTTTGTTTTTTTTTCACCAAACAGATCTTTCAGCTGTTTCTCCTGATGTTTTTTTGCCAATACTATATATAAATTTGTACACTTTTTAAATTGCGCAAGTCTTGTTTTGTGGGTCTCTCTTAGTTGTTAAGCAAATTGGGTTAACACAGTGGGCACCATTCCCGCAGCCCTCACTTTATCTACCTCAAGGGCAACTCTCGTACGGAGTACAAATAAACAAATTGGATCGTGTTGGGGCATGCCCAGCAAAGTTAAACAAAAATGAAATAAAAACAGAAACAAATAAGCCAACAACGCACGCTATCTAAATTATCAATGAAATTGTTTTAAAAAGCCACAAAAACAAAAACCTCAACACACAAATACAACAAAAATATACAAAAAACCAAAAACAAAAACATGTGTTTGTAGAAGAAAAACGAAAAAAAAAAAACCAAACCAAAACCAAAATATAAACAAAAACAAGCCAATGACAACAGTGAGTGTGTGTGTGTGTGTGTGTGAGGGGAGTCGATCTCTATAGCCTATATATAGATATATATGCCACCTATTCAGTATTGAACCGAATCAGTTTGGTATTTAGTTCTTGACGTCATTAAAAGTATTATGGGAAAGACTGCCCCATGTGACGTGTTATGCTCTGTGTGTGTGTGTTTTTTTTTTTTTTAAATTTTTCTATTCGGAATTTCGAGAATCTGTAGCGCGTAATAAGGTCGCAAATATACCAAATTGGCAGATTGCTTTGGGCGCTATAAAAGCCATAAAAAAAGTCTACAATAAATAATCAAAAAAAATTCGCCCAGCAGCAGCAGGAGCAGCATCACAAAAGATCATTAAGCATCGATGATGAGTCAGTTGATGAGTTTGTAAATGAGTTCATTTCTTTATTGAAATGTTGTTTGTTTTATTTATTTACTTTTTTTTCTTTATAGCCAATTTTCTTTGGCTCTTATCTATTTATATAAATCCGCATGAGTTAATGCGCATCTTATCCGTGGCACATGCATATGCAAAAATATGTGTGTATCCAAATAATCGGAACTCACCTGACAATCCGTTCGTCTGTGCTGGCAGCCAAAAGAACCAAATTCCAATTAAAACAAAACAGCTTGTCGAACGCATATTTATGGTTGTATATATTGTCTGTAGCATCGAATGTTTGGCTAAATCTGTATTGATGAGATCCTGAAAGCGTCAAACTGCAAAGTGAAATGGATAAAAACTTGTAATTGCCAAATGTCATGTGAATTTCAATTATTTGCCTGCCAGTTTAGCTTCAAGGCGAATTACAGGGGGGGGCGTGACAGGGGGGGGGGGGGGGCGTTGAGTGGGACTTAAGCCTGACAGACCAGTTACATGTGATTGGGGGCTATTTCTTGTTGCAATCAATTGCATTCCATATTAAAGTGTCTTTTTTTCTTTCGGTTTTTTACGCAGTGTGTCTGCGAAGTGTTTGCCCAAATACCCTGTAGTCAGAACTATATGAGGTGTTTTAGTTGCAAGCATTATTGAATGTGCATGTTATTAGCTGGCAAAGCACAATAAACGATTATATTTGAAAGCTGTGAAGAAAAGTTTAATCATTGGCAACAAAAAGTTAAAATTATGTGCGCCTAATATTTTTTAAATATTTATAACTATTTCCATTGTTATAAGCAATCTCGCTTCATTTTATTTAACAAGGTTTCAGTTAGTTCTGAATGCATTTAAGCTGCAATTTTTTATAAATTTTGACTGGTTATTTTGTAAAATTATTATGCAATTACTTTTAATTTATAACTATTTCTATTTACTCTACAGGTTAGTTTTCAATGCTGCTGCCATATTTCATAAATTTGTACAGGGTATTTTGTGGTTGCCTTTTTGATGACTTGTGTGTTTGGTGTTTGGTTTCGGTTTCACGTTGTTTTCGTATCCGTGTAGCTGGTATCTGTGTGTTGGTAGTTGCTGTTGGACTTATCAAGCCAATCAGTTTGGCATATGTTATAGTAACCGTGATAAGTTATCATTTTTGTCGAATCGACATATAATACAAAATTATGAAGAGACACACGCAACAACAACAGCAACAAGACCGCAACTGTGCTGCGCAAGTGTAAAAATATACAAACAAGAATTAAAACAAAAAAAAAAACCAAAAAAAGAAAGAAATAAATTAAAAGACAGCAAACGTAATGGAGCCGCAATGTATACCGAAGTTTTGCATACACTGCAGTTGTCCTAGTTCGGCTTAAATTCGGCTAACTAAATTTAATTAACTGCTTAAATTATTAACTTGATTATAATGCTCATATAAGCATTTTTACTGTGCATTTTTATGGTTTACAATTATATCACACTTGATAATTGACGAACAACTGGAAAAGTAAAATATTTATATTGTTTTCGAACAAACTATTTAAGTTATTCTTTTTAGAGGCAGAAAACTTTTCGTTTAAACTAAAGCAAAATGTGCTCAGTTGTGTAATTAATAACTGTGCAAAGTTTTTGGATAATTGCGCTGTAAATTCTCAGACACTTAAATTCAGTTCGCAAACACTTTCTGCCCAAGTTATTCGAACTTATGTAAAAAGAGCTGCGCAGCAAAACAAAAAACAGAAGCAACAACAACAACAACAACAATAACAATTTTGCAATCAAAGAGCGTAAACTTGGCAAACATGGATATTGTTTTGTTATAGTTTTTGGGGTTCAACAAACAAAAGATACTCGAGCAAGGGGAGGAGCAGGGGCAGCAGCGGCGGAGGCGACAGAGGTTGGTTAGTTGTCTGTGGCAGGTTGAAGAAATGACGTCTTGGCTTGTGGGATCGTGGCAGCAAAACAAACAAATGGACAAAAATGCCGCAAAGCACAATTAAATTTTATGGTCACAAATTTCAGATTTATGTATATAGTTAATAAATAAATGTACATACACACATGTTTAGCGGGCCGTCGAAATTGGGGCAATCGAGACCTACGCGCAGATCGGTTGGATTTTACCTACCTCTTTCTGATAGACGTTGATTTGCACACTTTTATTTTGTATTTGTTTGGTTTTTTTTTTTGTTTTTTCGTTTTCGTATACAGTTTAAATCACATTGTCAATTAGTTTATGTTTGTCCATTTTAATGGCAAGAATTTGCACTTCTTATTCCAATGCTAAGAACCAAATGTGAATTATTCTTTTTTTTATGGTCTTTGATTTTCTAAATAGCGTGTATAAAAAACCAAGCGCTGACTTCGCTATGTTACTTTTGTTTACAAGTGAAGTATTTAACTTTTTCTCTTTTGTTGCGAACACACGTCCGCTCTGGTCGACGGCTCAAATAGAACTAACAGGTCGTTCAAGCAGATTCGCAAAACCGCATACAAGAAGAGAGCAAGCGTGAGCGCTGACGCGGAGTGATCAGCGAAAGAGAGAGAGAGACAGAGAGGGACAGCGAGAGAGAGCGCGAGCGGGTGATCATTCGCGTTTTTTTGTTTTGTATACAAATATAGGTTGGTAAATAAATGTTAACAAATGCGTAGTTGTGGCCACAGATGCCGACTGCGGCTGCGATTTAATTATATGTTAGCCAATTAATAAGTATACATTTAATGTGTACCGGCGACGTGTACGCAACATTATTTCATTTTTCTAATTCATACGTATACGCAGCGGCGTCCAACTGTAAGCACTTTTATATTATTTTGCCGTGGTGGCAACGCCAATCCGATGGCTAGCGCGCTTTGTTTATATCGAACAGCCCTGACTCAGTGTTGTCTAACGCTAATTTTGAGGTCGTGTGGCCAGATTGTTTTAAATAGTAGCTACATTGGCGGTGCTGCTGGCCAAATGTAAACAATGTAGTTTTCCTAACAGTCTGGCTAGAATGCCGTTTTGGGTTTTAGTTTTTGCTATCTTTAGGTAATCTTCAAAAATTTTGAAAGCTTAAAGAAAAGATATGAATAATCTGGAATTGACTCTTAAAACAAGCGCTGTCAATTAGTTAACTTAACTATATCTAGTTAACTAATAGTAATTGAAGAGTTAGATAACATATGCGTTTGTTTCTAGAAGCTTGTGGCTAGCGCTAAAGCTTAAAAAAAGAAGCATTTTATTTATTTTATATTTGAACTGTAAACTTTATTCACTAAAGCGCTCTGTAACGAACAAGCTGATAGGTATTTATATTTATTAAGGTGGTGTATATATATATTAGTGGTCTTTTACGTCTTGCCTATCGGTTTTTATAGGCACAAATAATAGCAATCGATTGTTATCGATAAATTATGCACTGTTGTGCATATAATTGAATTGTTATGCCAACAGTTGGCCACAGGCTCGCGCTTGACATTTTGAGTTGTTGCTTGCTGCTGCTGTTGTTGCTGGGTGCCATTTGCAACTGTTGCAACCGGCATTGGTAATTAGCACGCGTTCGCTGCTCATTAACACTTGTGCTACCAATTGGCCGCCAGTGAAGCGGCAGTTTGTATTCCCTGGCGGCGGCAGCAAATTGCACGCGTGGCACGCTGCACTCGGCCGGGTGCAAATGCTGGCCGCCAACAGTATCTGGCTCCCTCTACTTGCCTCAAAGGCGCAAATGCCGCCACACATTTTCGGCAGGCTATGGCCTGTGGCACTGTCTGCAATACCAAATCCAAAAATGGTCAACGTGTTTTGGCGGCTAAGTCGGCTTGTCCCCTTTTGGGGCAGCAGCTAGCCGCAAGAGCGTGAAATTTTAATTGTGCCTTTCGGGGCGTTGTCGTCGTCGCCGTCGTCGTCCGCCGTCCACCGTCCGCTGCTGGCTGGATGGCATCCTTCGATCCGAAATAAAGATCTTGGGGCTACCGCAGCTCATCCAATGCTCCAAGCTCATACTCATTGCGCGCGCTGCCTGGGCCTGACTGCCTGCCAAAGTTGTTCCATGCCAAAAAGGTGCAAAAGGCCAAATAGTATTCGGTTGTTTATGTTGTTACATGCCACGTTGTTGTTGTTCTTGTTGTTGTTGCTGCAGTTGTTGTTGTTGCTGTTGTTGCTGTAAAGCGCTGTTGTGTCTTTTAGCCCACAAAAATGCTTACAGGAATTTATTAAAGTACAGTCAAACAACTCTATTGCTAACTTTGCTTGGCAAAAAGTCTTATTACTGCAGCATAATTTTCAAATAATAATTTATTAATCATTTTAATAAATAAATGCAGTTGAATAACCTTTTATTAATCATGTCGAGAATGTGCGGTAGCCTAAAGGCGTCGATTCGCAAAATTCCACCCGCAAGTGTGGAAAATTGGTGGAAATAGGTTGTATGCCATTTTTTTATTCGATTGGCTTCTAACTAATTTTGAAACTGCTTTGTAAAAATTAATTGTGGTCACATTTTTTGCGAAATCCAGCTCTATTCGTAGGAAAATGGGGTGCTAAGTTTATTTGGTGGAAGTTTCAAATTGTGTTCAATTGGATTTATTTGCAAACATTTAATCAGATTGGACTACTGAGAGTGTTCTAGTATTTCATATTTATTTTAAAGGGAAAATATGAAAACATACTCGAAACATTTGTTTAGAGGAAATGTATAAAATAAATAGATCTTATTTTGTAAAATCGGTTAATGCTGGTTTTTACTTAAAAACTATTACAAAATATAGAAAAAATATGCGCAAACTCTATAAAAATTAAAAAAATATATGTAAATAATACAAGATAAAAAAAAATATATTCATATACAAACAAAATGTGATATAAGCTCTAAATTCTGTTTGGAATACACAATTTTAAAATTCAAGTCTTTGCCTTTGCAACTATATATGTTTGAATGTTTGATTAAAATGACCGTGGAATTTGTACGATTTCTTATCAATTTAAATTTTTTTAAACATATAATATAATTGCATTGATTATTAATTATTGAAATCGATTTACCTTTTGTAAAGTTAGTTACTTGTTTGCTGATCTGGAGTATTTCTTTGTGGAATGTTCTACGAAATTCTACCCGACACATTGAACTTTACAATCTAATTCTAAAATCGAATCTTAAAATCTAAATTTGGGATTTGCTATGAGTACTTATATATTCGAATTCCTTTGAGCATTATCCTTTCTGATATCCTATGTTAGCTCATATATCCATGTTGTACTGTATAAACTAGCACCTGATGTCAACTGTTTAGCTGCTGATGCTGCTGCTGGCCGTCGGAGCGTCTGGCCCGCCGTTGTCTCAACATCATCATCCTCAACTGCCTGGTGTATCATCGTCTTCAGGGTTTAGTTTTTCGTTTTTTTTTTTATTTTGTCGCTGCTTTGTTGCTGTTAATAGACGCTGCGGGCCAAATCAATTCCATGCAAGTTGTAAGCCCGTCGTCTTTGGCTATTTTATTGGTTGACAATAAAAGTGAGCCGAGTGTTTGCCTTCTGCCATTCCGCCTGACTGCCTGCTGGCCTCGAACTGTGCTCTATGCTGCACACACAGCATAATAATTATAATCCATTTTATTTCTAGGCTTTGCTGTGGCAATTCCATCGATCATGCAGCACACACAGCCACATGGGTCACGTGTGTGCGCTGACCTCTGCCAAAGCAACAGCAACAACAACAACAACAGCAACAACAACAACAGCAGCAACAACAACCGCATTTAATGTTTAAGCTTTCTGCATTGTACGTCCGTCACATGAGCAACTGTTGCTGTTTTTTTCTGTTGTTGTTGTTGTTGCTGTTGTCGGCGACTGCACGCCAAGATGCCAAATATCTAATGCGCTTCCACCAAAATGATCAAATTCATGGAATTCGCATAAAGCAGCGACCAGGTCGCCGTCTTCTCTACTCCTCTCGCCGCTCCCCAAGCTCCACCAACATACTCTTTTATCTGCCTGCTGCTCCACCCATTTGCATCTGCTGACTCGCTGCGTAAAGCAAACAAAATCCGCGACAGGTGAATCGGCCGCCCGTTGACTTGCCCCATACGGTCATGGGGCCGTATGGTTCCAACCCATTGGGCATTCGTTGCAGGGGTTGGGGGTGACTGGGGAGGGGCAGTGGAAGCCGCATCTCTTGGCTCTCGCCTGTGAGTGCTTTGGCGTTCACATACTGCTGCCTGGCGGGTGGGTCAGGGCGGTGCAGATCGAATGCCGTCAGTTACAGTGGGCTGAGGTTCATATAAAAATGAATTAAAAATTTAAACATTTATTTCAGTAGGAATTCGCGTAAAAGCTCTGCATATACTATGTTAAGGGAAGAATTGATGTAATGTATTAAGCAACTTTTTTGTCAATTGCTTGTTTAAAAGGAAATATTAATTTGTTGTTAAGATTATTATTATTACATGTGTATTTATGTACATGTCCTATTTGTAGAAACTTTGATCTATATCTCCAAAGTTATACAAAATTTTATTAAGAAATTTAAGTCAATATATAATAATTAACTCTATATAATTAATTCTCTAGCATGGATTATTATAAACTTGTTTTTTTGCATTATTGCCTTATAAAATTGTCAAAGCTTTAATTTACATATTACAAAATACTCTCTCCCTACATAAAATTTAACTGGAATGGAAAAAGTTAATTATTAATAGTATTAATATTAATTATAATTAATTATTTGCTCATTCCAGTTTAATTTGATGCGCCCAAAAGTATGCTATAATATTGAGAGGCTTAAAGCTTATCAGCAATCAAAATTTTGTATGAGAATTTAGCTAATTGTCATAAAACAACTGATTTCTTTAAAAGACATAAAACAAGTTATTTTGAAAGCACATTAATTTATTATTTAAATCTCAAAAACTGAAAAGCGCGCAGAGCACTTACATTCAACACAGACACAAAAGCTACGCACAAAAGATTCGCCTTGCGTGGCAATTTCAAAAGCTCACTAACACTTGTTTAATACACTAACACATACACAAAGCTTGCACTTACATATGCGAGTAGGCTTTTGTTTTGTGCCATTGCTTGAGGATCTGGTGCCACTGTGCTGCCATGCTGCATGCGTATGTGTGTCCCATCACCCACTTTGGCCATTGCCTGGCCATGTGACGGGGTCTGGACTCTGTCTCTGCCACAGTCTCTGCCTGCTGCATCATCTAACGCAGCGACGGCGACTGTTAAGATCGATCGTCGTTGTGTTTGACCGTTGCTGCTGCTGCTGCTGCGGCTTCTGCTGCTTTGGAGGTGACTTCGACGTTGTCGTTGCGATCGATCGCCTGCTCAGGTCTGGTCTGGTCTGGCCTGGCCTCGCCTGGCCTGGCCTGGCCTGGGCCGTATCGGGGCCGCCTGTGCCTCGCTGGGCGACCATTACCAGGCTTTGGCCAATTGATGACCAGTTCGATTAGTTGTTGTTG